CTAAACCAGAGAGTGATGGAGAGTGATGCCCTGTCTCAAAAAGACTGAAAAACTTTTAGGTTGAAGGTAGCATGATTATCTTATTCTATTACATTCTACCCTTTTGGAGTATAGAACACACTTGAAATTCATGTTCTTCTAAAAGTTTGTTTTACTATTTTTTCCTTTAATCACCTTTTCACTTAGATGAGAACATTAACATACCAAAGTTGTTAGCATGAGTCCCAACTATGATATTTCGGTATACTGGCTTTAACTCTTCCAAAATGAAACAAATAACCAATCAGGACATGAAAAAAATGTTCAATATCTATGCCATTAGATAAATTCAAATTCAAACAACTCTGAGGTTTCATATTTCTGCAGAAGGGACAGTTAACATCAGGAATTAAAGAAAAAATGGTGGTGAGGCTTTGGGTCAAAAGACATCTTCTACATTGTCAAGAGAAATGTAACTAGTGCAACTCCTGTGCAAATCAGTATGAAGACACCTAAAATTGTGAAACTAAACATTAGATTTGATCAAATCATTCCCCTTTTACTCATTTTCCTCCAATAGTGAAAGCGGTAACACCCCCGTGATGCATGCATACCCGTGCAGCAGCACAATTTGGATTGGCTACATGCTGGAAGTGGCCAGACACCACTAAAATGAGTAGGTAAAGTTAACACAGTATTTATATACAATGTAGTATCACTGTGCTAATAAGGAGAAAATCAATACATTTCAAGGAAAATGAATGCACTGTGACACCATAATACTAGGGGAAATAAACCACAAAAGAACTTAAATGTCACATAATTTCTCTTACACTGGAATACCGAAATATAAATAATTTAAAAAATAAAACACAGATCATCCAAACAGGTAGATGAGTCTTTTGCAAAAGAGATTGGGATCTATACATGGAGTGAACCAGACAGTGGAAGAGAGGACAAAGAAAAAAAGATTACAATAAGTTTAATACCCCCAGCTACTATCTACAGTGAATGAAAACACATGATGTGACTGTAATCAAAGAAAAGTGATTTCTGAGTATGTTAGATATGAAATTTAATGACTCAATTTAAACAAAGAAATGTTTTTATTCAAGTGTGCTTATATCCTCATATACATTCCCATCAAATCTGGCCTATCTGCATAAACAGAATTTACAAATTTGTCATTTCATACAGAAACAATTATTATTATATAATTCATAATTGAGTATTTTGCCACAAAATGCATTTAGATTTCTGAAGATGTCAAACACAAAGTGAAAACATAAATATTTCTACAATTTTATAAGCATGAGTTACAAAAATGCTGTAATGGTATTTAAACATTTTTCACTCTTGAAAACTCATCAGAATGCCCCTGGAGTAGGAATCCCATTTGGAGCACTCTTACATGCAGGGATACCTGAAGAGAGAGGGTGAACCTCAGCAGAAGCTTCCCTGACAGAGATCTGCAGAGGCTGTACAGCGACCGTGTCTGGAAGGCTAGATTCTCTGGGTGAGGAGCAGCCGGTCTTCTAGATCCATCTGTGAGACCCCAGCCAGGGGACAGCTGTTGCTAACAAGAGTGGTTCAGTTCCCACCCATCACCCTGTCCTTAAGGCTGTAGCACAGATGATATCTGTAGTGTGAGGATGATGCCTCTGCCCCTTTCCTTCAACTGCACTCAGGCATCTCTCTGACCCTGGGCCTCAGACTCACTTTACCCTTAGTAAAGATCAGATGCAATGAATGGATGCAGGCAGGATCTACATTTCAGGTGTTTGTCCTTGGACCACCGTGGACCTGCAGATTTTGAGGACAGGCAGCCCAGAGAATCATCACACCCAGCACATGAGTCATTGCATGGACTCCATGGCTATAACCACTGCTTATATACACTATCAAGGTTCCAGGACACAGAGCTTCCAGGTCAGGGAAGTGCAGCTGCAGCATTCTTGGTGTGTTACATGGAAGGCTCTCCAGGTCATCCAGTTCTAACATGGGCTTCATGGGTTCTGAGAACCTCAAGGGGGACCCTAATTTTATACACTGGAGATGGGCTCTTTAGTGTAGCCTCCAGTTCATATGCAAGAGATGGAGTCTGTAAGTCCCCACACCCTGCCTGAACCTAGGGATTAGCGTCCAGCAGATTCACATGCCTAGAAATCAGGACCCATGCTACAGATACTACTAGGAATGATAGCAATGGATGCAGCAGAGGACAGAGCCCAGAGGCTGTGTGTCTACTCATGATTGCCTGAAGCTCCACCTGTATAATGCATTCCTGGAAGGGACACATGGGCAGACAGTAGCATTCCCCACTGATGCTGGTGATGGGGTGTCTGATCATATGGTTTTCCAGCAAGCAGCTGCCTGATGCTCTGGTTCATCTCCATGATAGACACCTGGGTTCTTCAGGACCCTGTCACCAAGAACAACTGAGTGACATCCTGGCAGTCTTCATCTACATGTCCCTTTCCATTCTGCCTCCAGGACTGAGATCAGGCATGGACACAAAGCCAAACCTGAGTCTCACCTGTGCACAGTCTTTCCCATGTGTGTGGGAATGTGGGTGTCCTGGTTGTATACTCTGCTCTCCCTCATAAGTTCATCTGGAAGTTCCAATAGCCCCAAGAGGAGACAGATTTGCAAAGTACACCAAGAATAAAGATGGTGATGATCCTGAAGCTCTGGGTCCCCGAACAGAGTCTGGTAGGCAGTGGAGGAAGAAGATGCACAGGGATCCCCTTTCCTCTTCTCTGATTTCTCTGCTGTCTATAGCTTCACTGAGTTCTGCTCCAGGTGCACCTGGTCCTGGATCTCCATCAGCCATAATCTGTGCTCATCACACTGCTGTGCCTGACTATGGAGATTCCCTGTGCTCATGGTTAGATCTTTATCATCCTGGCCCAACAACCTGCACATGGAATTTCTGGATGTGTGGTTAATTCCCCACTGACATGTTCTCCTCTCTGGGGATCTTTGCATTCTTCTGGTTTATTTCGCATGTAGACTACTTTGACTCCTTATAGTCACACTTGGTGAATTAGTGGTTGTTCATAGTTAGGGAAATTCATTTCCAACAAGTTAGATAGGTTCCTGGAGAAGTTCTTTCCTGAGTTCCTCACTACGAAAGGCTCTATGTCTATATATCACTGATAACTTTTTCCTTTGTGCACAGCTCTAAGGAATCATATTAGTACCTCAACTTGATATTTCAGAAGCTTCTTGATGTGTTATGTTGGTGTGTGACACCAAGGAACTCTCATTTTCACCTTGCTACTCTCCAAGTGTCATCATCTCTCCCTCAGTATTTCTCTTCTCTGGGCTTCCAACTCCTCTGCTTGAAACAAGACTCAATCAGTGATTCCATATCTGACTGTATTACTAAATTTCTTTGTGACTGTTCAACTTGCAATTTAATTTCTTTCATTGGTCCATGATAAGAAAATGAAATTTCAGGACAAAATTCTGTATATTTGCAAATAGAAAGAATGGCTTCCCATGACTTTCCCTATTGGAACAAAATAGAGATGCAACTTCATTGGACATATTCACCTCTTCCTTGAGTCACTGTCCTACTGTCCTTACTTGAAAATGACAGTGGGACTCAGTGACACAGAGTACAAGAAACAGAGTGAAACAACACAAATTTTAGAGAATTCAGGGATCTCCAGGAAAATGAAAGTCAGGAGGTTCAAAAGTGTGGACCCAGCTACATCTCAGGATATGTAATGTTCTGGAAGGTGATCTCAACAGGCCTGAAAACAACAGATACACGTGGGACAACACAGGAGAGAGGAACTCGCATTTGTGAAACCAGGACATAGGAGGGATGATGACTGCTCAGGTGAGGTGCAGAGCTGGGTGTGGAGGAGCAGTTGATTTAGTTTTCCAGTGTGACAGCGACGATGATTTCCATGGACATGTTCAAAGGACATGTGCGGCATCTATGTGTGCAGATATCACCTCAGCTCTGCCTTCTACAATGGTGCATGTGTGCAGATTTCAAATAACTTCCTTCTCTTCAGTGTACACTTGTTTCACAGAGTGTCACAACAATAATTATATTATTAAGTATAGAGCTGTATCTGGCTATGATATAAAAATTTATGAAAAGTTATGTGACTAATGAATGAAGAATGAAATTACATAAATTTAAAATGAATAAAGTAGAAACTGGAGAATCTGGTAAGGAAAGAGAAATGGATGTTATGAAACAGAAGCATTTTATTTTACACATTATTTATTAATATACTGATATATAGCTTGAAATGTGTGCAGTTGTATTAGAAAGGCAGAGAGAGAGAGAGAGACACAGAGACTAAAGTAAAAGAATGGTGAAATTTGCCCTAAAAATTTCAAATTTCAAAGCAACCTAAATAAATTCTGAGCAGTTTACATGAACAGAAAAAGCTCAGCAAGGTCTTAGAACACTGCTCATGGCAAACTCCAGCTGCCCCTCTTCCTCCTCTTGAGCTCAGAGCTCCTCATGATTGGGCTGAGCCTGGCAACCAAGTCTCCTTAGGTGCCAAAGAGAGGAAAGACCTGCAAGGTCTCAGACCATGTGTAGAGATATTGGAATAATTTAATTTTCTAATGTGAAACATTTACTACTACAATAGACAATGGCTCTTTATGAGGGGAAAACTAAACATTTTATTTTTAGATAATCATTATGTGACATTCAAAACAAACTTAACTTCTCAAAATATATTTTGGGTTTTATTGCCCTTGTTAGAAAAATCATATGAAACAGACCAAGAAAATAATATGTATAAATAATAAAAATTATAGTTGTCTCTTGAATACCCCTAAGTCATCTGAAGTCTGGGTATCTCTAGTCTCTCCTTCTGAAGTTAAGGCTGAGAGGAAACCCCAGAGGCCTACAGGAAGCCCTCAATCCCCTGCTTCCTGTTCTGCTCTGTTTCAGGAGACAAGGCCTGGTCTCAGTTGGTAAATCCCCGGCTCCGCCTCCTTGACTTAAGTGCCCCTGCAAGGAGGTTTGTGTCTGGGCTGACAGTGACATTCTCTCACTGTGTCTGCAGCACAGTAATACAGGGCCGTGTCCTCAGTTCTCAGGCCGCTCATCTGCAGATACAGCGTGTTCTTGCCGTTGTCCCTGGAGATGGTGAATCGGCCCTTCACGGAGTCTGCGTACTTTATATTACTACTATCACCATTGATGTTTGCGAGCCACTCCAGGGCCTTCCCTGGAACCTGGCGGACCCAGCTCATCCAGGAGTTACTGAAGGTGAATCCCGAGGCCAGGCAAGAGAGTCTCAGGGAACCTCCAGGCTGCACCAAGCCTCCCCCAGATTCCACGAGCTGTACCTCAGCTTGGACACCTGCAAACAGAGACATGCTGCTCAGGAAAAATTACATATATCCTCTTTTTATCACACTCGTGGCTATTCACACATACATTATTAGTTGTTTTTCATCAATTACCCTTTAAAATGAAAAGGAGGAAAATCCAGCACATTTTAAACTCCATGGTGAGCTGTCTGTGCTCAGTGCTGATCACTGAGTGGAAACACCTGGACTTCCAGGTCTGTGCTCCTCTGCAGAGCTGCAGGATCACGTCTGGGCTGGTTTTCATCAGAACAGGGGGACCCTATTTGCATAGCCTCTTGCTATATAGTCAGTTCAGAGGAAGCCTCATAGTGGGAAGGGTCCAAAGCACATGAAAGAGTTTTGAGTGGTGGTTAGAAAAGCCTAAATTCTATAGAACACACAATTTCTTCCTATGCCTGTGCAGTGATATACATATAACCTCATCTGTTTTACTTATTCTTACATAGATATAATTAATGGATTTAGTAATTTCACGTTTTCACATATGTGCATAGATTGAGGAGCATAATGGCCTATGATTTGTGAACTGTATTTTATAAATCTTTCTATGCATTTAATCCAACAAGCCATACCACAGTTCTTAACTGCTGGTGGAGCAGATTCAAGACAGAATAGTCATGCTTCATGACATTTGGCAAAGATCTTTTAATTAGAGAACTTGGCAGTATTTTCTATATTGCATTACACTCAGAACTGAATAGGCAAGAAGTATCTTTTTCAAGCTTGTGCGCAAAAATCTGGTGTCTCATTTTCTTATCTCTGCATAAAGCTTTCCACTGTAAGGTACTAATTACAAATACATTTATTAATTTTAATGATGGATAAATGAGATGCATTTTGACACAAACTGCCAACATGATAATACTTACAAATGATGCCCATTGTCAAGATATGCAATGGATCAATGCTTCTAAATTCTCCTGTTGTATTTCACAAAGTCTCCCTATTTATTGTAGATTTTCCTCAACTGAAACATTTATTACTGCAAGAGACTTTCCATTTCCGTTGGTGACAAAATTAGCACTCTAATATTCAACGATGATAAACATGAGTATTGTGTACTCCAAACAATCTAATGTCTTAACATTCTCAGTCTACTTTTCAGTATATCCAAGTTCTTATTGCTGTGACACAGAAATTCACATGAAGATTTTGAAAATTGCAGGTGTAAATGTAATCTGTCTCCACCATGTCCCTTTCATTGCTTGGGCTCTGAAGAATTCTTATGTTAGGTGGAGAGGACACACTGTATGTTCTCCGCCATGTGTATGGTGTTAACAGAAAGGGGATGTTCAGACTCAGAAGGGCAGCCTTCTACCCTTAGCCTCCTGATCTGTACCTCCTCCTGGGCCACCCCTGTTTCTCCACAGATTCCCAGGGTTCTTTCACTAGTCCAGAATTTTCCCAGCTGGTCCTAGGCATCCCCTCCGGAACTCAGAGAGCCTCCTTTCTTGGTGTTCTGCACCTGCCATTTGTGCTGAGCGCCCCTTACTGGCCCATGCTAAACTGTACATAGATTTATGTCTGGGATCCCATTTATCTCCCCTCAGAAATGGTCTTGCACAGTACTGCACGGTGTTTTCCAGAGATACTGAGGTCAGCTGCAAGGAGAACTGGTTCTTGCTTGTGTCTTTAGACATGCTGAGTTCTCATGGATGAATTATAAGCTGTGTTTCCTCTATCAATTACCTTGACACCTTGATTCTCTTTATTTCCTAGTGGCTGAAGCATGCAGCTACAAGGCAGCATCTCAGAGCTGAAGAAACCAGAGAAGGTGCAATTGGGATGGGGGACTGTGAGGACTTCACCAGACCATATCAGGCCTCTTGCAGCAGCAGCTGAGACAGAACTGTGGGAGAACACAGTGACTCCTGAGATCAGATGCAGCATCTCCACAACATCCTGTCTGAATTTTTCAGAGCACAAGTCTGGGATCCAGCAGCAGACAGAGAACAAACCAGTGCTGTGGGGTTCTTGAAGACTCTCTTTACAAATATTTGAGAACATTTTAAAAATGTTTAGATACAAACAAATTAACTGAATATGCTACATAAGTTTATCCGTTAGCTCCTAAAGTATTTGCATTTGCGGAGTCTTCTTGTACATGATGTTGCAAGGAGACATAGGATATTCAAATTTTTAGGATTGCCTCAGTGTGAAAAATGCTGACTGAGCTCTTGAAGAACTCACCGATGTCCTGTGGTCCATTTCTCCTATTCCAACCACCTACTCCTACAAGACATATAATGGGAAAGCTGGTCAGGGAGAAATGTTCACACATGAAGGATGAGTTTTTGGATATGAAAACTAGAACACAGGACCAAGGGATAACAGGGCTATGAAGTACATACAGCACATGTGTATAGAGTGTGTGCACACAACACATAAAATCAATGCACATTCTATGTGCATATGTACATATCTGTGTAGTATCCTGGCTGAAATATGCTGCCATTTTCCATTGTATTTGCTCATATCATCATTTATATATTTGGGGTGTTGCGGCGCTCAGCTACATGTACTCTTCTCACTGAATTGGAAAAAATTTTGTCTCATACACAAAAGTTGACATAAAATTTGTAGACTATTAGACACTCATCTGATTATATTTCTCTTTGTGTGTGTGAAGTGTTGTCATAATAATGTATATTTATGGGTTTGTGCTAAGATATATTTATTTTTGCCTCATTCCTTACTCTTTTTTCTATCTCACAGTAGATATTTACTCTTGTGTAGTGTAATCTCTGACCTTGAGGAACACAAGTTAGTTTTTTAGGGATACGTTTTTTTCTATAGCAAAGTGCATTGATGTTAGGACACTTAGGGCTTTCAACTTGCTACTTGGTGGAGCACAATGCTGCACATGAAACTCACAAGTAAGCACAGAACCTGCCACTGAATGCCTCTCAGCTTAGTGATGTAGGTGGTATTGGTCCTCAGATGACTTTCACTAAGAGAGAGATTCACTTCTTACTTATCACTGGTGAATTGAAAGGCTTCCCAGTGTGAAGCAGCAAGGGCCCTCATGATTTATTGAGATCCATAGCAAAAGCTTCACGAGTTACCTAATGTCAGCATGGAAAGATGCAATCTACCAGTGCCTAACAATAGATAGATCTCCTTAAATTATTCCTGTGTGAGCTGACATTCTTCCTGATATTGTGAAAAATTTGACTGCTTTTCTAATGTGTAAGTGGTTGGCTTTAAAACATCGTATGCTTGAACACCATAATTGAATACTTTGGTTTATTACAATCTTTAACATTAGTCCAAAGGATTCTGAAGTAAAAGGTATGTGAGGTCTGAATGTAGCAATAAATACTACACAAAATTTGAGTTTGAGTCTCTTTGCAAAAGTAGGGTGCGTTTTGCTGTTTGCTGACTTGGAGATAATAATACAACTAGCCAAATTTTCCACATAGTAAATCTTTGTGATTTTCATGATGAAAATCCTTATTTTTAATGAACCAAATTTAATGAAACTTCTTGATATCATACCAGATATCTGTATGATCTGTATCTCTACAGACCTTAGTAACTGGCCCTCCTTCCATACACAACTTTCGTTCCATATTTTAATTTCAAAACAGTATGAAAATCTAGCATCACCAATTATGTAAACACTCAAATATATTTCAGTTTAAGCTTCCAGTTTCTCATGAAATTCAATCAGCTTGTACTTGAAACAATGTGTGTGTAAAATCCTTACTTAACACCTGAGGAAATCAGATTTAACCACCAGTGCCAGACATGGCAAATCAGGGGACAGTGGCCTTCCCACTAGTCAACTTGTTCCCTCCCCCTAGTTTCACAGCCCCACAGTCAAGGTTAGTGAAGGTCAGCATGAAGCTCAGGGGCCCTCACAGCGTCCTTTCCACTGTCTTGTCTCACCCAGAAGCATTGTCAGTTGATTTGCTGTGCAGGGGACAGTCAGTTCTGTGTACTCAGCCAGCCTTGATTTAAGGGGCTGCTGCTTTCTCTTTCCCTTATGCATACAGTTCTTGTGATTTATTTACAGTGCATGCTGTGCCATTTTGATTTTTTAAATCATTACCGGGATCAAACTCACGACCACTTGCTTGCAAGGCGCCATTTTTTTTTTTTTTTTGTCTTTTTCCTTTTTATCGGTACCAGGGATCGAACTCACGACTGCCTGCTTGCAAGGCAGGTGCTTATGCCGCTGAGCTAAATCCCCAGCCCCGCAAGGCGCCATTTTAATTTTTATGGTATTTGTATGTTCAAATAAATTTACCACATTGAAACACTTGTGGTGACAGTTAAAAAATACATGAAGATTTAATCCTATGTCATCTCACCCCTATTATACCTGAATATTTCAGGTACTTAGTAACAATTTTTTATGGACAAAGTAAGTGTATGAAATAATAAATATGTGAATTTTATCAGTGATGTTGGCCCAGAACAAACTTTGAACTTTTAGGATCAATTCAAAAATTCACAACTCTTCAAATCTTTGAATGCCTTACTCAGTATCATCAAATTTATTGAATTAATTTCTCACTAAAATGCATAGTTTTAAAATTCTTAAATGATGTAATTTTTCACTGTGGGTAGATAGTAATGTCACGTGCATGTTGTCATATAACTGATCGGTAGTTTTTGTTTATTTCTTGTTACTCTAGATGATTCATATTATGTACATACCAATGCCAACTGATTGCTTATGAGACACATGTAAGAACCTGTATTTTAAGACTTTCTTACATCTTTACACTATATTTTTCTAAATTGATCATATATGTTATAAAACATTTAAATTATTTTCTTCACTATGCAAGGGTAGTAAAACGCAAAATTTACAGTTTCCATGATCCATTTACTAGTTGTATTATAATATTTTATTGTAGTATCTGCTCTCCATGGATTTTCAATTAGACAATGAATTAATTATTTTGGGGTTTAGTTGCCATTTTACATAGTATTTTTAACCTTTTGTTTCTTTGCTCTTTCCATTACCCCGTACTATTTTTATTTTAAATATAAAACACCTGAAAATACAATGCTTCAACAACTGTGCTCTTGGGACAGACTCTGTGCTCCACGTGTCCCGAGCGCCCCCTGCTGCTCCTAAGAGCCCCTGCACGTAGGTTTGTGTCTGGGCTCACACTGATGATCCCTCACCACGTTGCTGGCACAGTAAACACGGCCGTTACTTTGGGTTTCAGGCAGCTCCTGAGCAGATACAGTGTGTTCTTGCACTTATCTCTGGA